TCTCTCTCACACACAGAAACACACACACACACAGACCCCGGCACTTTCTCTTCCTTCACACACACACACACACACACACACACACACACACACACACACACACACGCTCTCTTCCTGTATCTCTCTTTCTCTCTCACACACACACACACACACACACACACACACACGCACTCTCTCTCCCCTCACACACACACACACACACACACACACACACACACACTTTCTCTTCCTTCCTTTTCCCACCAAGTCGGACGGGGTCCTTGCAAGTCCATCAGTACAGATACAACCGGCCCTTTGATGGGGACCAAACTGCTGATGCGGCCCCCGATGAATTTGAGTTTGACACCCCTGCAGAGTATAAAGTGCTAGTTGACTGTGAAATCCAACAGCAGTAAAACTCATTTGCAACTCTGTGCTGGGTTTAGCAGGAGACAGAACGCCCGTTCCATACACAAGCAAGACCCAAAAACATGCTCATCTTTGTATGTAAGTTAAATGCAGTACTAGCAGGTACGGATGAAAACAGTTAGATGTTTAAAGTTTGTATCTTGCTAAACATTTAAACTAGCCTTGCTTTGCAAATGCTACAGGCAGGCCTTGGAAATCATGCAGCGACAGATAAAGCTGGTTGCTGGAGGTGGAGCTGAGAAAAGGGGGGAGGCTGGGAACGGGCATCATTAAGTTTTCCTTGTATTCTGCTACTTCTCTATTCCAGTTGCCACAAGAAAAGATCATGCTCTTGCAGCAGCAGGTCAAAACTTCACTGCTTGAATATATATATATTTTAAATTACCTGTTTTTCCTTGACTTCAGACCAATTTTCCTGACCAATTTCCATTTTCCTGACTTTCCAGAGAGTGGCAACCCAGTTTCAGTCAGGCTTTTTGTAGACAGAAAATTAGCCTCTCTAGACCCTTGCCAGTTCTCATTTTAACTCATAGCTTCTAAACATTACCTACTTTTCTGCCCCCCCCCCTTCTTGTTCGAGTGTTGAGTTTTGCAAAAACTGAAATATTAAATCAAAAGATTTTAAAGTGAATTTTAGCAATTGAACAATCTAATCAAAACAAAAGATACATTTTGCATAAAGTGACACAACGCTTTGCTAAACATTCACAGAGTTTCTGTCAAGCTTACTTATTCTTACCTTTACCTTGTTTTGTGCTCGTCACTGACTTCCGAGTAGAAACTACCCGCAATCCATTAGGAACCTCTTCAGAGGATTGCTGAACAGGCATTTTAGATTCTTCTCCTTCTTCAGATAATTGGTCTTAAAGGAACAACACACAATCAAAATGACAATCTGTTCACTCAGTGTTGGTGACAGTGCTGCAAAGCTAGAAACTGAGAGTTCTGATTCCCTTTTGTACCTCCCAGAAGAGCCGGCCTGTATAATCTTGGGCAAGCTATTCAGCACAGAGTACCCCCAGAAGGAGAGAACGGTAAAATAATTCCAAGTGCTCTAAAGTTAAAAAAAACCCTGGAAAGCATTGCCCTTAGTAAGAATCAATTTTTCAGCATGCAATTATTATTTTGTTCTGTACAGGTATATATGTTAGTCAAGAAAGTTTTTATTCTAGATTTTCTCATATTTGCTCAATTAAGATCAACAGTGAGGTTGTTACATCATTAATAATGAAATAAATATTTAGATGAGCTCTAATTTACAATTAGTAATTCTAGACTCAGGTGACACACACAGCTGGTCACAAAAGAATCCAACTCTGTTAATGAATATCTTAATGAAATATTCTATGAGGGAAGCTCTTCATGATTAAGGAAATGATATTTTGCTCACCATCATCATCCTCATCATCGTCTGCAGCATTAATAACAACTGGTGGATGAGTAGGGCTTGGTACATTTTCAGAACTTTCCACCTTCATTACCCCACGCAGCTGAGGAGATGGATTGGACTGAACAGAAAGTTTATTCTGTGGCAGTGTGATCTGTGCACTCTTCATCTCCTCTTCCACAGATTCAGTCACATTTGGAATAACAGCTAAAGCAAAACCAGAAACCCATAAACAATAAGCTAAGAAGTGTTCGGTTGGATTCAGACTTAGTTATACTTTATGGAGACCCAGTGAAATCAATGAGATTAACTTAAACATGACTGACCTGGGGGTCTATGATGTCAGTAAGTTTACTCCACACACAACTAAACCTAGGTCCAACACATCATTCGTAACATATTAAGTATATTTTGCAACATGTGTCAGACCTCTCCAGTTATATCAAAATCTCAATCAGCAATGAATTGTGGCCTATATTAATAATCTCACCAGTCTGTCAAAAACCCAAATGGCCTTATTCATTCTTATGCAGAGGATGGATAAAGTGGATAGGGTAAAGGTAAAGGTTCCCCTTGACAATTTTTGTCCAGTCGTGTTCGACTCTAGGGGGCGGTGCTCATCCCCATTTCCAAGCCATAGAGCCAGCGTTTTGTCCGAAGACAGTCTTCCGTGGTCACATGGCCACTGCGACTTAGACACGGAACGCTGTTACCTTCCCACCGAGGTGGTCCCTATTTATCTACTTGCATTTGCATGCTTTCGAACCGCTAGGTTGGCGGGAGCTGGGACAAGCGACGGGAGCTCACTCCATCACGTGGATTCGATCTTACGACTGCTGGTCTTCTAACTCAAATGGCCTTATTCATTCTTATGCAGGGGATGGATAAAGTGGATAGAGGGAAGCTCTTTTCCATCTCACATAATACAGAACCAGGGGACATCCACTCAAATTGACACAGCGCCACCACGTTCCTATGGGATAGGGATAGAGGGAAGCTCTTTTCCATCTCACATAATACAGAACCAGGGGACATCCACTCAAATTGAGGGTTGGGAGAGTGAGAACAAGAGAAAATATTTCTTTACTCAGGGTGTTGTTAGTCTGTGGAACTCCTTGCTACAGGATGTGGTGATGGCATGTGGCCTAGATGCTTTTAAAAGGGGATTGGATAGATTCCTGGAGGAACAATCCATTGCAGGTTACAAGCCATGATGGGGATATATAATCTCCAGGCTTAAAAGGAAAGTACCTCAAAATGGCAGATGCAGGGCAGGGGGATCGGGAGATAGCTATCTAGTTGTCTCGTGTCCTTCCATAGGCATCTGGTGGGGCCACTGTGAGATACAGGAAGCTAGACTAGATAGGCCCTTGGCCTGATCCAGCAGGGTTCTTCTTATGTTCTACATTAATCTCTATCGTACTTATGAAGAAATAAGAGCACCACTGACAGCTCAGTCTATCTCTGCATTCAGTGATCCTTGGTCAGTCATGTACTTCCTGGGTGACAACTGTGGAAGAATGACAAAAGCCTTTGCTTTGTTGTTTCCTAAAGCTATCAAATGTGAGATAATGAAGACAGCTGTGTATGAGACAATATTTACATTAAGCAGTTTCATAGATGTCCAGGGGACTGTTAGCAAACTATCAGAAATACTTTTAAAGAAAACATTGTCACTATTGTTGTTGAAGTTATATAAACCACATACAGAACTATAACTTGCTTTATTAGTTGTTTCCACATGGCTACATTTTTAAGCTGAAGAAAGGTGCTTCAATTAGCAAATCTCTGTGCAGCACTCAGCTGTTTCAGATGTTTTATAAACTGGAGATTATTCCTGTCTAATGCCTCTTGCTGCATTGTAGAAGGGGGGCTGGGGGAAGATGCATTACTAGTAAGAAGAAACTCATACAGCAAAGTAAGTGAGATATGCTTTTCTTCAGAGCATCTATGGAAATATGCAAGTCTGAAGGCATTTTGTAAACAGATTAGAGCAGGAGAACTTTCCAAGGACAAAAACACTACTCACTCTTGCTGGGAGGTAAAAAAAGTCCATCCACAAAACGTCCCTTATTGTGGTGGAATGCACAGTTCAACTTCTGACAGCCCACTGGCTGGTTCTCCCAGTAACATGGAATCTCGCTACGTTTTTTCTGCAGGCAAAAGAAAAATAGGCTGTAAACATACATTAGGAGGAATGTGCAAGTTCACATCAAATAACAACACATTCAAATGACAGCAGCATTGGCAGTGAGACAGGAGGGCCTGGTGTGCTCTGGCCCATGGGGTCACGAACAGTCGGACATGACTTAATGACTAAACAACAACAAAAGTCCTCCACCATGTCTTGAGGCTCCCAAAGGCACCTGCAGGGCAAAAGGCGGCCCTGGGGAGCCTTGTAAGCTAAAAGGGGCTTTTCAATCTCTTTACACTAGATTCAACAATGCAAATACAGCCCAGACTATAATGAAATATATAATTAAGCCAAGAACTTACATCAATCTCCATGTGTCTGAACCGACAAACACTCCTGAAACATCGCCCTTCCTGCCAGAGCACACAGACAGTTTCATTTCCCAGGGCAGCTTCACAGTGACGGAAGGGGCAACTATCCCCCTAAAGAAAATGAAAAGGGAAAAATCATCAAGGTCACTCACTAAGCCAGAAAATTCTTCAAGAGACTTCTGCAATTGCAGCAATTCACATCTAAAAATTGTCTCATTTGCATACTGTGCAACAAGATTTCAGCCACTAGGTTCATCAGTTTTATAGATGAAAGCAAAAATAAAAATTTTAAGACAAAAATGTGGTGGTACTTTAAAGACTAATTTTTATGGGTTTACCAGGATAGATTAAATTCACAAAAAAAAAGTAGGACTAGGGAAGAATGAGGGTTGAAGGAAATACAAACCTTGGTACACGTGGAGTAGAAATAAAAGTAACAATCATCTCCTTGGTTAGACATCTTGGTCTGTATCAACACAGCAAGCTTAAAGCTGAGCAACTGATGGCGAAATACAATTTCACTAATCTCTCAGTGATAGCTGGCCACAGGCTGGTTTAATATGGCACAATCTTCTACAGGCTGGATATACTGGTATTTTCTTTTAAATACAATCTGGGAAACAGTAAACAGAAATAGTTTTTTTTTAAAAATGCTTCATCTTAGTAACCAGAAGATTCAATTACTCTGTCTTGTTTCAATGCCAAATAAATTACTTCTGAAGTCTTATATGCTGTTAACAACTCTGCATAGGCCTAAAATTACTGATTCCAGCATTTTAAAAAATGCTTTCTCTTTAATTTCCTGGAACTCTTGTCATCTTAATATAACCACCAAGTTTTCAATACTGCAATAAATGTAATGCATAACACACATAAGGTTCATATGTGGCAACAAGTGGATTATAGGAATTAAATACAGTGGTGCCTCGCACAGCGAGGTTAATCCGTTCCAGATTAACCCTCACTGTGTGAAAGCATCGTTGAACGGGGCAGGAAAAACATGGTTTAATGCGTTCCAATTGGGCCGAATACTCATCGATCAGCAATGCTTCCCTATGGCCAGCAGCCATTTTCGCGCCCTCCCCTCGCTTAACGAGGGCGCGAAAACGCTGCGCGCGGCCATTTTGGGGCTTCCAGCTGCCATTTTGTAGCTGCCAAACAGCTGATTGGCAGGTTGCAAAGCGAAGGTCGGTAAGCGAACTGCTTACTGACCTTCGCTCTGCGATTTTCGCCCTATGTGGGCACCATTTTGCGATCACTAACCGGCCTCGTAGAGCAAATTCATCGCTCTACGAGGCGCCCGTTGTGCGAGGCACCACTGTATATACCAGAAAAAAATTGTACAAGCATAGGTTAGGTTCCTAACCTTCACAGATCAATATACTTTTCATTGCAATACCTTGTTAAGTTCAGCAAGGAATTCTATCTTCCAAGACTTCTGTTTTTTTTTCCTGTAGGTCGAATCAACACTCAATCCATGAATTGATAACAATGGGGTAGAAAGACTTTTCTTCCTCACTTTGCCAAGGAAACAAATTTCATCCTCATTCAAAATTCAGACAGAGAGTGAATAATAACTACTGGAGAAAGCAAGTCCATTTGAGTGGTCAGGAAGACTGGAGATAGTGAAGGTTAATTGCCTCTTGAAAACAAATCAGTTCATTTAAAGATGAACTTGTGTTTCAAAATGGCTGCAAAGAAAATGATCCATCTTCCGCAGCCAGTCAATTTAGTTTTATTTTTGTTTTAAATTTAAAACACTGTTTCAATCTCGGTCTTCAAAATCTCTTCACCTATTTGGAAAAAAGGAACAATCTTCCCCGATCTTGATTAAATGTAAAGCAAAAGAATACATGTATGCATAATCTTAAATATGTATACCCACATATGTATATTTTCATAGATATGTGTTTATACATGCACCAATGTATACACAGGCACAGTAATAAAAGGTTAGATTGCAATGGAAACTCAAATTTGGAGAACTCAAAATAGAGTAGTTAAATTTTCATATGCATAAAGCTTCAGGCTGATAGTATACTTCACAATTAGGAACATGAATGGGTATATGTACATTACATATACTCATAAAAAGATGTACAAGGCTTATACGTTGCCTTATAAGAATTATTTTTAAATAAATTGGGTTGTGATTAATTTTATACAGAATGTAAATGCATGATACCCTGCCTGAAAAACCAGGAGGTTTGGCTGCATAAAATCAAATAAATTTTCTTATTGTTTTTTGATTTCAAGATTCTTTGAAAAAGAATCTTGAAAAGAATCAAGAAATTCTTTTCTTCAATGCTTGATTTTGCTTCATCACTCCAAATATCCCTGCAAAAATGCATCATTAGTTAAATTTTCAATCATAAGACTGAAAGAATGCTGCACAGCTAATAAGAAAAACTGATGTCTCTTCATCCACACAATGACCAACATAAAAAGAATAACAATTGCATGACTATTGATTGTTTATCAAATGTCACTCTAAATATATACTGAAGAACAAATTGTTGGAACTTCACCAGACCAGATGGGTGGGAAATAAATAAATGAATAAATAAATGTGAACATATTTTCCACATAATCTTTGGCACGATACTTATCTGCTCTGACAAAGAGACAACATGTTTGCTTTTTAATGTAGTAATTCCATTTTGAATTTCATACAGTACAAGGATTTTAAAACTTTCAAGAAACTTGCCATCTACAATTCATTTCTTCCCCTTCTCTCATCTTTTCAAAATTTAGGATTCAAAAAGGGGAGATCTGTACTAAGGAGAAATATTCTGTCAAATTCACATGAAGATTATCTATCAAAATTTAATACCATCTTAATTATAAAGCAATTTTTGAGGGATTTATTAATAAGCCATTTTAACGTTATTGTCTCTCTTTTGCAAAGAAAGTTTCACATACACACAAGCAATTGAATTTAAGGTATTTTTTCCTGTAGCTTTCCCTTTTTATACATTTTCCCCCATAGGTTTCCCTTTTTGTACATAAAACACTTTTTTGGTATCTGCTGCTATCTAACACATACAGATTTGGTTCATTCAACTGCACACCCCATTTGACATAGTTATTATAAAGGAGTTTATTAAATTTCAATATCCATGGAATTGACAAATCTGCAAATAAATCAGTTTATTTTATTTAATACTCAAGCTAGGAACTAATTAGAAAAATAAGATTTCCATTTTTCCTATCAAAACAGTAACCTGGTGTACTCAGTTGATGGAAAAGTATTTGAAAGCCAATTAGTTTCTCAAGATTGTACTGATGACACTAGAAAAGTTGGAATGTTTTATTTTCAAATGGTCCAAGCACTCTGAAAAAAGTCAACTAATTTCTGAGAAAAAATTAGTGTCATCATTTAAGTGAGTGAAGTGAGTGGTCAGAACTGTTACATTCTTATCTCCATGCTCAAAATGTGACACACTCTTTTATTATAGTAAGCACAGGCTGTTTGGTTCAGATAATACTGTATGTTTCCTCAAGAATATGCTATACATCAGTTAGTGCTAAAGATGGAATACAGTAGACAAAAGCATTTTGTGTAAACTTTAATCTGTCCTGAGGACACGGGATTTAGTGTTCTTCTGAATCTCATGCCACATCATGACAGTCTAATCTTGCATCCATGGGCATGATATTTTTTAAAAAGAGGTTAGATGCCTACCTGTCAGTGAATGTTTTAGCTATGGATTGCTTGCTTTGGCAGGTTTGACTCAATTATCCTTGGGGTCCCTCCCAGCTCTACTATTCTATGCCTCTATGATGTCCCAATACAATTAGCATTAAATTCTCAAATGCAAAGTACTTGGGGGGGACCCCCAATGTTGCAAGCCTTTCACAAAATCTGATGAGAAGCTCAGGTTGTATCAGCTGCAACATTTTTCCAATTATCATACAAAAACTATGGTGTTTATACACCCTCTTTTCACATGCAGAGCTGGTGATAAAGCTGTTGAGACTGAGGTAGAATATTTACATTTTTCACTGACAACTATAAGTGGTACATTTACCAAAAGAAATACGTATTCACTACTACTCTTTTCAACGCCATCATGTGTTTCACTGACCGCAGCTCAGGCAAAAAAAATAGTTGACTACAGTGTATTGCCCAAGTAAGGGGACCAAAGCAAGTTCTTGATCTACCTTTAGGGAATGCCACTATTTAGAATATGTTTCAACTCAGTAAGCATAGTGGAAATCAGTTTAGAAAAGTCCCATATATTTTCCCTAATTAATATTTAATACTTAAGCTGTTCTGGCTGTTGTAAAAAACACAGCAACCAGTGGTCTAATTGGAAATAAATTAAGACAATGGGAGTTTTTATCTGACAAAACTGTTCTACATTTCTCTCTACTGGAGCTGTCTTTCTGCCTTGATAGAGGAACAGACAAAATCTGTGCAAAAGCAGATTAATTTTAAAGTTCTGGTTCTTTATAAATATTTTAGACAGAACTAGCCTTTCATGGCATGGCTTTCCTTCACATTCCACACTTTGACAAGTGTATTTGCTGCAGACACAATGTAGTCTGTCCTTAAAAGCTGCATTCTTATGGATATGAACATGCATATCAATCAGTATTACTGCAGAAGACAACCATACAGCAACACAAGTTGTTAGTAAACTATATAACTGCTCTAATCTCTTAACACTTTCCCCCCATAAATTTTAGCAAATTGCTGTTTCCTGTTGTTTTTTGTGCTATGTGCATAAGGCCAAAAGCTGCATCTCCCCACACCAGGATAATCAGTTAAGCACTAGTTTTAATGTTTATACTATAGGTGGTTTCATTGTTAACTCACTAGCTGCCAAGAAAGGGAATTTTAATGGACAGTACTGTACTTTTTTTAGTGCTTTTTATTGGGGAGAATATAAACCAAATTAATCATTAAATTATGCATGTCATATACAAATTTTGGGATTTTTTAAAATACAGACTATTGTAGTTCATTGATACTACTAAAAAAATCTTCCACTTAAAAAAATTCTTGGATGAAAAATATGTATTTTCCAAAGCAAATAATCTGCAGTGTACAATTTACCATCAGAAATAGTGCCTAGTTTCTTTGGTTACCAGACATGCTTTGCATCTCCATCCACCAAAAAACACACACCCTTGTCTTCTCTAAAATAGTAATCTGCATGCAGCTGACTAAGGGAGTGACAAATGTTTTCCCTAAAATTTTAACACCAGATTCTAAATCAATTACACTAGCATATAAACTAACCCTCCCATATGGACCTTCTACATTTTTAGTGCAAGTGCAACAATGACAACAGGGAAACAGTTTGAAAATAAATTCTCAATATTATATTCTGAATGGTTAAAAAAACTGTGACTTGATTTAAGAATATTATTCGAACCTTGCTTTAATCATGTAACTGATTTTTAAACTAAAAAATCAGTTACAGAGGTATCTACTTTAACTCCTGATTTTGCTGTTTTAGAGTGCTTGTGAAGATTGTGTCACATCAGCACCACCAGAAATGGAAGGCATGGAATTTAAATATTTGGGAGGAAATTGTTTTGGTCCAGAAAATTACATACCCTTGAATCCTTCTTTTCCCCCGTTTTTAACACTTCGGTGACATTAATTTTAACCTATCCTAAATGGCCACAAGGATCAGAGAAGTGGGAAGAAAGAATTCATTATTTTAACACGAAAAGGAGGGGGGGAAACATGACAACAGTCTCCTTGTGAGAGCAGGAAAACCAAAAGGATTGGGGCAATTTGGATACCAGGTATTAGAAGAATGTTTCCCATCTTGCACAATTATTTAATTGTGTAATAATTTTTTTCTCTTATATTTGTTATTTTTGTTTATGTTGTAAGCCGCCTAGAGTGGTCGCAATAACCAAATAGGCGGGGTATAAATAGAATAAATAAATATAAGAAGCGGAAGGATGCCGAAGAGACATCTTTTGGGGAACAAATCGGTGTCTCGCACTATAAATAAACAAAATAAATCGGGATGAAATAAGCGACCTCCTTACAGGTACCGAAACAGGCCGATTAACAAAACA